CGCTGGCAGCCCGCGGCTGCCTGGCTCGGGCTGCACACACAAACCCTGCTCCTTCAGCAAACCCCACTGAGGCTGCACGTCCCTCCTGCCTCCCTGCACACAGCAGCGGGCAGCGGCCGGGAGGGCCGGGGGCTCTGCCAGCCCTCGCTCTGCCCTGCCCTGCCCGTGCCCAGAGCCTGTCAGGAGCCATTTTGTAGCTGCAGAAGCCCACAGGCCTAGGCTGGACTGCACCATGCTCTGAAACACCATAAAAGCAACAAAACGGCCCTAATTGTGCACGATCCTTGATGAGCCTCGGTCAGGCTCTGCAGCTTCCCCAGCCAGCAGCACCCACAGGGATTTCCCGTGGCTGCTCTCACTCTCCCAGGCCAGGATACCTCGTCCAGCGAGCACAGGAATGAATCCTGGGATTCATTCCTGGCATGTAGCGTGCAGGCTGCATCTCCCTCAAAAGAAACTCCATGTATCGCTCGTTTCAAAGTCGAGCCTTGACAATTTCAAAACTGCCGCTATTGAACAAGCTGCCAAAACAAAATCATTCAGCTAAACTATTTTTTTTCCTAGCTCTTTTTATTAAAGTTTCTTTTCACACAAAGATTTGAAATGCAGAAACATTACCAAAGTATCAGCTCAAAGAAAACGTAAGCAGCACACAACCTTCTTTTCTGAGAATAAAATTAGCATCTAAATATTAAAATATATCTGCACCTCTTCTGACAACTGCCTCTTCTGGACTCTGCAGAGGGGTTTTCCATGACTTGAACACAACAGATGTCTGTAAAGCCATCCTAAACCATCTCCTATCAGGTCTGCAGGGCAGGTTGTTGCTTTGCCATTCTCACTCACCACTGTAAGCTCTTACAAAAGCATTTTTACTGCCTACAGTTATGTTCAGGTGAGCAGGCATTAGCAAGACGGATTATATTTTTATCCCATACAAACAGCATAGAAAGGTTAACTAAATATCTTAGTTCAGGGGATGTACAGATCAGTCACTACAATACAAACTTTTTCCTTCTGCATGCTCCATTATAAAATTAGATTTCTCAAAGAATACAGGCTTTCTCTGGAGTTTCACCTCTTCAAATAAGGAGTGCATCTCTGCAGAAATATTTTCCTTACAGATGATCACAGTAACAAGCACAAATAACAGGGATGGTTTAGCAAAAAATTGTCAAAGTTACACTCAGTTTAAAAAGCTGGTGTTAGGATATGATGCTTTTAATCTCAGAACATTATATTAAAAACAATAAAATGCAAACACACAATACTACAACCTATCCACTGCTTTGGAGCTTTACAGCAAACAGATTTGTTATAGAAACTTAATTTCTGATGCTGTAAAGCCGAGACACTTGAACACAACCTGATCAAAATGCCTTCGGGACTCTGCCTTCACACATTGTGCAGCCACTACATGCTAATGGCAGGCACAATGCTTGAAAACAAAAATTTTTTTCAGAGGATTACACCAGACACAGAGACAGATATGCAAAAACAATGACACCAAAGGAATCAAAATGTTCATGGCTCATAAAGCATGGTAGGGATGGAATGGCTCCAGTTCATCGCCTGCCCCTGCTTAGATTCCTTCTAGCACAATGAATCAACATTACCCCTTTAAGAAAACCATCCCGAGTTGTGTTTATCTGGGGACAAATCCACTTAATCCCACTCACACAAGCAAGCACAGCAATTTCAAGAGAGCTGCTAGTCTAGGAGAGGTCAGCAGAATATATCCCGTTTGTGAACAGTCCTGGGATTCTTCTGGGGTGTGACACAAGTCCCATTTTCATAACACACTAGAAGATGAGCTAACAGGACACCTGCCCTGTCAGTACTGTCCTGCCCTCATCAGCTCTGTAACGTTTTTGTCCAAGCTGTAAGCACAGGTCAGCTTTGAAAATCATAAACTGTCTCTCCCCAACTCACAAAAGCAGCCTAAGACATCCAGGAGAGAGGATCTTTCCCATTCCAGAACTCTCTGTATCTCCTTGCAACTGGTGAGGGTAAGGAACAGGGACTTTTTACCTCTTTTTACAAAAAAACGTCTTATTTGTCCATGAAGGCTGAAGACCAGGCTGCAGGGTGAGACAGCCCTTCTCTGGCGTCACTCCCCAGTGTGAGCAGCAGCAGTCGGCAGGGCAGAGGCGCTGGCACCAGCACCCACCGGAGCACTGCTCCACCATCAGGAGGCATGGTCCTCCTGCCCCACCTCATGTTGCTGAGCCCTGCGCTTTGCAGGCGTCTCAGAGCCAAGCAGGTCCCCAGCTCTTTCTATACCCACCCCGAATCCATGGCTTAACCTCATACCAGACACACACATAGAGCTGCACCTGCCCAACCCATGCCCCATTTTTGGAGGGCTGCAGACCAGCCTGGGGGACCCGGAACCTCAGTGGGGTGCAGGCCACAGTTGGCTCCACTCTTCTGCAAACTGGCTGCAAGCCCTGTCTGAATGGGGAGGCCCGAGGGTGGGGGACTGGATGTAACACCAGGGAAGGCAATGAGCCAGGATGCTGGTTTTAAGTCTCGGCTATAAAAATGGCAGGTCAGTGCTGCCAGTTGAAGGAAGCACCTGCGGGGGCAGGCAGGAGTGCAGCTTTGCCAGCAAGGCGCAAAGCCCCTGGGACCAGCCGGAGACGTTGTGGGGCCACAAGCAGCCCTGTACTGATCCTCCAGCGGGGCCGCTGCTCCAGGATGGGAGACGCTACATCTCTGGCCACGGCTCCCCAAGCCGGGACGCCCCACCACAGCACAGGCCCCACCCCGGGACGGCGTTTCGGCCCCACAGCAGCGGGACCCGTCCCGAGGCGCTCCCGCGGAGCCCTGCGCGCCCGCGCCTCCCCGGCTCCGAGCAAAGCAGTAACGAAACCGAGCCTACCGGCACCTTTTCCGAGCCTGGCGCGGTCCGGAGCAACGCAGACACGACCCAGGTGTGTGTCCGAGGCGAGCCCGGCGGCCCCCGGCGGCTCCGCGGCTCCTGGCCCGCCGCGGTGCGGAGCGGTCCCGCTCCGGCCGGCCGGAGCCGCGCCGGCAGCGCTCTGCGGCCAGCCAGAGAAAGACTTCACGGAAAAAGAGAAGCACACATCCACGTCTAGCCGGGACACCTCGAAGAGAACTATTTTAAGGGGCCAGTGGGGAGCTCGGGGGACGTTTTTGGTTCTTTTTTTTTTTGTTTTAGCTGTGCAGATGCAGAGGCTGCAAGCCACCTTTCTCCTGTCCTTTTCTGCCCAAGAAACCTTTCTTCTTTTTTTTTTTTTTCTCTACCTTTGGGGGAAGGAGAGGGTAAATTTGTTCAAATGTAAAATTTCAAAGCACGCAAGGTTGAGCGGGTTGCTCGCCCGAGCAGCCCGTGCCGCAATAGGAGGGGATGGACCACCCCTCGTCCTTCCGCTGTGCCCCAGTCAAGTTCAAGACGGGCTGGTCTGCGGTCTCCGCCGGTCAGCAAAGGAGCGGGGCCGCAGTGCGGTCCCTGCCTCGCCTGGGCTCAGCCCGCACTGCCGGAGGAGGCTGCGGAGCCGAGCGGCCGGGCTGGCCGCGCCCCGCCGGGCACCGGCCGTCGGCGCTCCCGCCGCTGCCCGGCCGGCCCGCCGGCCAGCCGCCGCCCTCCGGCCAACCGGAGCCCCGCCATGCGCCGGGAGGAGCCGTTTCACCGTCGCTCTGGTTGCTTGGGGCTCCTGTGCGACGCCGCGAAGTTTCTCGGGGGACATGTTCGATCTCGATGCCTCTTCTCTCCTGAAGACGGGAAGGTTTTTCCGCATCCTAGTCAGAAATAAAAACAGAACAAAACAAACCAGACGATAACGGAGACAATCCTGCCTGCCGCGAGGTCGCCCCGGGGCCCCGCGGCAAGCAGCCCGCTGTCGGCGGGCCGGTCCGGCACGGGTGCGCAGCCCTACAGCCCGCGCTGCCCGGTACTCACCGGGTACTCACCGGGTACTCACCGGGCACTCACCGGGCACTCACCGTCGGGACCGCCCCGCTGCCCCCGTGGCTGCTCCAGCTCGCCGGCGCCGTGCCCCGACTTCGGCCCGCTCGGGAAGCCGCCGGGCGTGCAGGGCTGGGACAAAGGGGCAGCAGAGAGCGGCGGCGAGCAGGGCGCTTCCCCCGGCATCACCGGCTCCAAAACAACGGCCCGGCCCCGCTGGCAGCGCCATCCGGGCCCGCGACGGTACCCGCGACTCCCCATGCCCCGGAGGAAGTCAAAAACGGCTCTTTCCAAAACAATAAACTTTTAATGCTAAGGCAGTTATAACCAAAAGCTGTACAGAGTTGGATTTTTTTTGTTTGTATTTTTTTGTTAGAAAACAATTTTTTCTCCCCCATAAATATTGTTCAGTTCCCGGCACTTTGTATCAATAATTAAATTACGAACGATAAATATGGCATCATGGGTATGTATTTACAAAAAAAGTTATTACAAAAAGGCAACTGTTATACTAAACGTCACAATCTGGGCAGAATAAACACCACATCCTCATCCTGAAAAATACTGACCGACCCCATCAGACGAGAATACATTCACATGTGTAATGCTTGGAGAGAGAAGGAGAAAGAGAAGAGCAGAGAAAGAAGCAGCAAGAGAGCTAGAAAGGAAAGTTCAAGACATAACAGGACTTTGGCACGGTTTAAGACTGTAAGTTTAAACAATCACCACTAAGGCGAAGGAGAATTTTCATCCTCATGTCAACATCCCACCGAAAGAAAGAGAAAAAAAAAAAAAAAAAAAAATTAAAAAAAAAAAAAAAAAAAAAAAAAAAAAAAAAAAAAAAAAAAAAAAAAACAAATTAAGAAAAATAAAATAAGTTGGGAATTGGAGGAAGAGAGACTCAGGCAAGGGGGGGAAGTGAAAACCAAAGAAATGACTGAGACTGAAAAAAATTACAAAAAAAAAAATCTAATCCTGAGAAAAGGACATGGCTAGTCCAGCGTCTGGGCTTGCAAAGAAATAGTAATAATTATAATATAATAATAAAAGACCCCCCTCCACATCCTGGCAGTCAAGTAGGTGTAGCACTATGCGGTCATCGGTGTGGAAACTCTATTTCCGTGGGAGCGAGCTGCAGTTGGCTTGGTTTGTCCTTTTTTTTGCCTCGTTCCCTATGCATTTGGTCCAGTCTGTGGCCGGGCAGCAGCTGCCTTCACACATACCACTCATTAAAATTGGGGGGCAGTCCAGGGTTATGGCCGGGGTTACTCTGCAGGGCGGCCGGCGGCGTTTTAGTGGAGTCCTTACTGCCGGCGGAGCCCACCGCAGGCGGGGTGGAGGACTCGTACCCCGAACTGGCTGCAGGGGAAGAGTCCGACCCTTGGGATTCGTGCACCTAAAACCAAGAGGCAGAGATGGGAGCGAGCTCGGGTCCTCCAGCACCCCGCGGGCCTGCTCCTCCATGCCGGAGGGACACGTGGAGCAGTGGCCGGGCCCTGCCTGGCAGTGGGCAGCTCACTCCTGGGGCAGCGGGCAGCTCACTCCCGGCCGGCGGGCAGCTCACGCCCGGCCGGCGGGCAGCTCACGCCCGGCAGTGGGCAGCTCACGCCCGGCCGACGGGCAGCTCATGCCCGGCAGTGGGCAGCTCATGCCCGGCAGTGGGCAGCTCACGCCCGGCCGGCAGGCAGCTCACACCCAGCTGGCGGGCAGCTCATGCCCGGCAGTGGGCAGCTCACACCTGGCCAGTGGGCAGCTCACGCCCGGCCGGCAGGCAGCTCACGCCCGGCCGGCGGGCAGCTCACGCCCGGCCGGCGGGCAGCTCACGCCCGGCCGGCGGGCAGCTCACGCCCGGCCGGCGGGCAGCTCATGCCCGGCAGTGGGCAGCTCACGCCCGGCCGGCGGGCAGCTCACACCCGGCCGGCCACTGAGCATCGGCAACAGACGCCTGCCGCGGCCCCCGGACACTGCTGCAGCGGCCTGGCCGGGGGGCTGCGGCATCCCAGCACGAGGGGCTGCAGCCACAAGCCGGGCTGCACTTGCACAGCCTGCCCGCACCGAGCCCCGCTCCACAAACCGGGCAGCGCCTGCACCAGCGGAAAAGAAACTGCGCCATTTCCCCGGGCTGTGCTCCAGCCACAGCCTAGACAGCAGGGACGGCTCGGGCCGTGCTCGGAACAAGGAGCTCAGCTCTGCTCCGGGGGAATGAGCCCTGAGCACACCAGCGACTGAGCATCACTGCTCAGGGAGGAAAGGGCTGGAGCACCGGCGTGATTTACCTTCATGTGTTTCCTAAGTGAGCTGGGGTGGGTGTAGGATTTGTCGCACACCTTGCAGATGTAGGGCTTGTCGGAGGTGTGGACGTGCATGTGTTTCTTCCTGTCACTGCTGTTGGCGAAGCGCCTGTCGCAGCCCTCAAACTCGCACTTGAAAGGCTTCTCACCTGTGAAATTTAGAGAGGGTGAAGGAGGGCCGTTCCTCTCTCCATCCTCACCCGCCTCCTCCAAGGACAGCATCTGCCCTGCTCGCCCCACCTTAGGGATGCACAAGCACCACAACAAATGAAGGGGAAGATGGACAGCAAGATTTGTTACGTGTTGGATAAATTTGGGTCAGGCTTTATGACTTTTAACTCACCTCCCGCCAGGCCCACGCTGGGCTCCAGCAGGGAAGGCAGCTGGGCGAGCTTGGGAAAGGAGAAGACCTGAGATAAATTCAGCGGCTCGGACAGCTTTACAAGACCTACTCGAGGATACAAGCCAAAGTACGTTTGCTTCCAGCCTTCCCCCTCTCTTCCCTCCACCCATGCAGGAGGGCTGAAGGAAAGTCGGGGCTGCAAATAAAAATACTTTGACAAAAGTATCGCCGATTTAATTAGAAGAGACGCCAATCAGGCCTAAAAATAAGAATAAAAAAGGAGCGGAAGTCACCGAAAACGAGGTTTCATTTGCATTTCTATGGTTCCCTCCGCTCCGGAGGCCGAGAGCGGAGGCAGCGCCGCGCAGCTCACACGCCGGCCGCCACCGGCCCGGCCCGTCCCGCAGCCCCGGAGCCCCCCGTCCCGGGCGGGGGAACACACGGACACGGGCCTTACCTGTGTGCGTCCGCTTGTGAATCTTGAGGTTCTCGGAGCGGGCAAAGATCTTGCCGCAGCCCGGGAAGGGACACGGGAAGGGCTTTTCCCCCGTGTGCACCCGAATGTGATTCACCAGTTTGTATTTCGCCTTGAAGGACTTGCCTTCCCGCGGACACTCGTCCCAGTAGCAGATGTGGTTGTTCTGCTCCGGCCCCCCGACGTGCTCCATAGTGACGTGGGTCACCAGCTCGTGCATGGTGCTGAAAGTCCTGTCGCAGCTCTTCTTGGGCCGGCTGAGCTGGCTCTCGTCGAGCCACTTGCAGGACAATTCTTGCTTGATGGGCTGGCGCATGTACCGAAAGAAAGCGCCGGGGCCGTGGTGGTGGTGGTGGTGGTGGTGGGCCGCCACGTTCATGCCCATATTCATATTCATGTGGTTGTAGTTGTGGAACTGGGCGCCGGCGTAAGGGTCCGTGCGGGGGCTGGAGACGGCCCGGTAGGGATCCGGCCGCCCGAAGAGGTCCCCGCGCAGCCCCAGGTGCATCTGCCCGTTGTCCACGTGCCCGTTGGGGGACGTGTGGCTCGGGCTCTGCTCGTGCAGCCCCGGGAAGAGCAGGTAGCCCGGGGTGTCCGGGATGCCGCCGGGGCCGTGCAAGCCGCCGGGAGAGCCGCCGAAGAGCCCGTGCTGCGCCGTGCCGGAGGCGGCGTCCGCGATGCCGGAGCCGCGGTTGCGGAACAGAAAGTCGCGGGTGGAGTTGAAGGCGGCGGCCCCGCCGTAGGAGGGCACCTGGCCGGCGTGGTGGTGGTGATGGTGGTGGTGGCCCAGGGCGCTGGCGTAGCCCGGCGCCTGCGGCGTGAACGCCGAGCTCTGCCCGGCGGCGAGGTCGTGCGGGGCCGCGTTCAGCTTGAAGGCGGCGGCGTGCGAAGAGTCCCCGAAGGGGCCCAGCCCCATGCCGCCGCCGGCGGCGTCGCGGCCCGGCATCTCGTGGTGGCGGGGCGCTGCGAAGCCGCCCACCCCCAGCGCCGGGAACTGCGGCCCTCCGTCCAGCAGCATCGTCATGGGCGCGGGGCCGTCGGCGCGGCGGCAGCCTGCCCGCCCCCCCCCCTCCTTCCGCCCGCCCCCAAAAAAGTACAAAACCACCCCAAAACGCACCCCCACTCCGCCCCCCGCTGCGGGCAGGCGCGGCCCCGGCCGCGGGCGGGCAGCGAGGCGAGCACCCCACGACCGACACAAAAGCAAAACA